AGGTTGGATTATGTAGTGTTTGGATTAGGTTGGGTTAGGTTGGGTTATGTAGTGTTTGGATTATGTAGTGTTTGGATTAGGTTGGGTTAGGTTGGGTTATGTAGTGTTTGGATTATGTAGTGTTTGGGTTAGGTTGGATTATGTAGTGTTTGGGTTAGTTTGGATTATGTAGTGTTTGGATTATGTAGTGTTTGGATTATGTAGTGTTTGGATTATGTAGTGTTTGGATTATGTAGTGTTTGGGTTAGGTTGGATTATGTAGTGTTTGGGTTAGGTTGGGTTATGTAGTGTTTGGATTATGTAGTGTTTGGGTTAGGTTGGATTATGTAGTGTTTGGGTTAAGTTGGGTTAGGTTAGGTTGGGTTAAGTAGTATTTGGGTTAAGTTGGGTTAAGTTGGGTTTGGTTAAGTAGTATTTGGGTTAAGTTGGGTTAGGTTGTGTTATGTGGTGTTTGGGTTTTGTAGTGTTTGGGTTAGGTTAGGGTTTAGGATGGGTTTGGGACCAGGGAGCTGTGCAGCTGCGTTTTTAGCAGGCATAAAAAAATCCTGATTTACTTTAGTGTTATAAATTGTAAACCTGTATTCTTGGCCCTGCACATTATTTTGTTGGCCACTTCAGCAGCACAGATCTGATTTTATCTGCTGGAGTAGACTTTACAGATTTAGATTTAGAGCAGATTAAATTATTTATTTTTTTAGATATGGACGTTTTCTGTCTTCAGATGTGAGGATCTAACTGAGAAGAAAGTGTCACAAATGTTGTGAACATGTTTTAAGTTGAAACAGGAAGACTGTGAGCCTCTGAGGCTGACTGGAGGAAGATGAGGACTTGTGGAGACATTTTGGTTTAAACTACTTCCTGACTAACGTCCAGCAGCCATGGCCTGGTCCGAGACTGGTTTTAGGAGCAGAGCCTGTGAGAAGTATGGTTCTGGTTAAGGTAGATCCTGAGACTTGTCCTACCTCTGCAGGAGTCCGAGCTCAGCTCCAGGATGTCCTCGGTGCTGCCGGACTTCATCACAGAGTTGATGGTGGACAGTGTGCTGACCAGCTGACTGTTGATGGAGCCAAACTGGGTCTGTGGTTGTCCAAAAGCATCGGCCAGTTCGCTGTAGTTCTCTGCCAGCAGCATCTGCTGCTCCTGCAGCAGCTTCTGGACCCTCTCGATGTAATGGTCCAGTCCAGCGCCACCTTGAGGCTGCAGCGGCGCAGCTGCAGTCTGCGTCTCCCTGTTAGGTTCAAAGTCTGCTGCCTGGGATGGACCACAGGCCATGTTTCTGGTCTTTAAACCAATCAGGAAGTTGTCGTTGATGCTAAGTGGACCCACCCCACACTCTTTGGTTTTAGCTGAAGTGGATTTGCTGAGGAGTGACTCCAAATCTGTTCCCACAGCAACTGAACGAGTCTTTGCAGTTGTGGGCGCATCTTTGACGAGTCCGTCCCCTGCAGCCACAGTCCTGGTCTCTGGTGCTGAAGTGTTGGTTTGTTTATGGCAGAAGATCAGCTCCATGTTGGTGAAAGAGTCCGTCAGCTCGGGGGTCTGAGTGTTGGTGGAACGACTCGTTACTTCTGCTTCGGTACCGGTCTGCTGCGTGGCTGATTCAGGAACAGCCAGAACTCCAGAGTCCACCTTACTGACCAAGACTGGGTCAGTTCCTTGTGAAACCATGACCTTGACTGGACTAACCATCACATCTACAGAACAGTCTCCACAGCCGACGGACCGGGACTCTTTCTTCTGCTGCGTCTCGTCTCTACGGAGGTCCAAACTGTCCACTGTCTCATCCGTGTTGACTCCTGTCTCAGAAACACTCAGCTCCACGCCAACCTGCTGGTGGCACGTCTCCACCCGCCGCCCCACACACTGGTCCTGGACCTCCACCTGCTCCCGCACCAGCCACCGGTGCATCGGGAGGTCCGGTCCCACGGAGACGCTGTGGACGCTGGGCCGACAGGACACTCCCACACTGTTGGTCTGTAGAGCAGGATCTGTGGCAGCGTGCCTGAACTCCACGTGGTCACCCACTCCCTGATGGCGCACCTGGACTCTGGCCTCCACGCAGGCGTGGTACGTGTCCGGCCGGACCATCAAGCCTTTGTCGGCCCTCTTCCTGTTGGACCCCCCGGCTGTGTGCAGCTCCAGCTTCAGCTTGCCCATCTCCATGTGGTGAGTGGTTTCTTTCAGCTGCACTTCCAGGCGGTAGATCTTGTCTTTGAGGGCCTCGATGGTCTGCTGCTGGAGCTCCACCTCTTTCTCAGCGTCGCTGGTCACACCCAGCATGGTCTCAGTCACAACAACTGCTGCGCTGCGGACCTCCGGCCGCTCCGTCACCACCCCCACATCCTTCAGCCTGGGCTCTGTTTGCTTCAGTGGGACACTGTTCATGTTTTCATCGGTTACCACACCAACGGACCTCTGCAGAGCCTGGTTCTGCACCAGGTTTTCAGGATTCTCCTTGGATGTCTTCTCCAGAGCTTGGACCTCAGCAGCCAGACGTCTGAACTCGTCCAGCCGCTGAGAGCTCTGCTCCTGGACTTCAGGCTCAACAATCCTCAGCTCAGCTTCCTTCTGGATGGAGCTGGGGTTGTCCATGTGGTCGGCGCTGCCCACGCTGTAGGAGCGTTTCCTGAAGCCCGGATTCTTGGACTGAGCAGCCAGCTGTCGTTTCTCCTCCTGGAGAACAGCAATCTTCACCTGAAGGATAGGGATGGATTTCACCTGCTCCTCCAGCTCCTTCAGCCTCTTCAGAGCCACCACCATCTGCTCTCGGATCTGCTGCAGCTGCAGCGGGCTGACGTTCGTCACCGGGGTGGCCACGCCGGAGCTCATGGGGCTGTGGCGGATGGAGCAGCCCACCGAGGCAGGGTAATAATGGTTGAACTCTCCGTTCGACAGGTTGTTGACTGGCAGTTGCTGGCTCGGGCCGACAGAACCAGAGTACGATGACAGAGAGCTGCTGGAGCCCATCCCACCAAAGCTGCCAAGGCGGCGGCGGGGCATCAGCGGCTCGCTGTGCGGCTGCATGAGGAGTCGCTCCTGTTCCAGACGGCGCCGAGTCTCCATCAGGGTCTTCTCCACCTGGGGGTTGTGGCTGGAAGCAAACCTGGGCGAAGGAGGTGGGAGATGCAGCTTCTGGTCAGACACACTGGGGTAGGACTGATGGGGTGCTGGTTCACAGGTCCTCCTGGACAGGGTGGGGGTCAGGAGAGGAGCCTCTGGAGGTCTGGAGGTGAAGAAAACCGGGGACTGTTTGCCGTCGCTGTTGGATGAGGACAGGGAGTCTGTGGAGGTCCATTCAGGCCGATGGCCCACCTCACCGATACTGCCTCGGGGTTTGGCCACTTTGGGTTTCCTTTGGATACTCAGCTTCTTCACGGCGTTTCCTCTCTCAATGTCATCGACATATTTCAGGAAGTCCAGGTCCAACTGAAAACCATAAGGAGTTTCAACGTAGTACGAGTCCTTCTCTCCAGCGTTCAAGCATGTTTGGGCTTGTGCTGAAAGAAAAAAAAACATCTTGAAGAAAAATGTATTTCAGTATTTCTGCTAATGCTAATGAGCTATCAACATTTCTGCTAATGCTAATGAGCCAAAAGAATCAACATTTCTGCTAATGCTAATGAGCTAAAAGTATCAACATTTCTGCTAATGCTACTGAGCTAAAGAAATCAACATTTCTGCTAATGCTACTGAGCTAAAGAAATCAACATTTCTGCTAATGCTACTG